GGACCCTTTATCCGATCCATATCTTTTCTGCTCACTGCCATCAGAAGTGCAAGTCAATCTCTTATCTCTCTCTCTCTCTCTCTCTCTCAATTTATTTCTCTCCAATTTTGAATTTGAAGTTACGAAAATAGAGAGATCTTTTGGTTTTGGGCTGAAGGAGGAGGAAAAAACAGGAAGGAGAGAGGGGTGAGGGGGCTTTTATAACAGAGAGTGGGAGGTGGGGGTGACCGGTTGAGCAGGTGAAGGGGTTGTTAGTGGTTTGGATGTTTGGAGGTTTGTAGGAGTAAGCGGCACCGCTTGTTGGAGGCAATCGGTTAAATGGAGGAGGTTGGGAGGGTTTGGGATACAGCTGGCGAAGGGACACGCGTCAAATCCAAACTGCACTGATTTGCATAACATCACTCTCTTCTTCCTAGGCTTTGCTTTTCTTTTTTCTTTCTTTCTCGCTTTATTTACTTCTTTAATGACAATGCAGAATGGAGCGTCTGCTTTACTCACAATTGAGTTGAGTGTCTCTCTCTTTTTAAAATTTAAAAATAAAAATAAAAATCAGGCTAATAGTTAATTTAATTAGCGCACATTTGGATTTTTTTTTTTTTATAATTCATACTAACATCTCTGCACATACTTTCGCGTCTACGAGAGGTTATTTTTAAAAAAATTAAATTTATTTTAGAAATTAAAAAATATAATGAGTAATTGTGTTCTATAAAAATATTATTTATAATCTATTTTTTTCTTTTATTTTTATTTTTTTAATATAAAAAAATATGAATTTATCATATTATTATTTAATTAATAATATTTAAATTAACCAATTATATTTTCTGATATTTTGAATGCTTCATCATTTTCTATCTTTTGCTTTATATATGGAAGATTTAAAAAGGAATAATTTGACCACTGCGCTCAAGTCGGGGGCAAAATAATTACTTTTAACGACTTGGGTTACAAACTTTTTTGTTGGGATTTAAATTGAGGCATCAAGTTGGTTACGACTCTTCGCGATGGGATTGGGAGCGTTCTGGTTTTGCACGCATGCTTTTACTATTGTGGAAGTTTTTTGTGGCAAAAGCCAAACACTTTCGAGCCATAAATTACGTCAGGTTTTGAACTTTACTATATAAATAAAAAAAATAAAGATAAATAAAATAATAATTGTTGAGGGATAACGATGAATGATAAGTTGATAACGGTTGGGTTGGGTTGGGTGTGAGTTTGACTGGGGAAAGCCAGGCTGTAGAGCATTTCGTGTGTGGGATATTTTTATTTTTCCTTTTCAAACATAAAATTTTAAAACAAAATTAAAAGAAAGGGAGGTTGAGGTGGCAGAAGACGACAAGAAAAGGCCGAATGGGAGCGCCAATGATTACGCGCCATCCCATCAGGCCAGGCTGTGAACCTGCCACCACCATCATCGTCTGATTCATCTCATCTCTCTCTCTCTCCTCCTTAACGGCCTCCCCCTCACCCACCGACATAACCCCCACCCCAAGCCCCCCCTCTCTCTTTCTCTCTCTATAAGTATATATTACTCATAGAAATGTACGGAACACTCGCTAATCACGATGATGATGAGGCTTCGAGCGAACTCCTAAGAAGCAGCACGCACTTTCTTTTCACCTTCCTCTTCCTCCTCTCTCCTCCGCTTTAATTAATTAAGTAGAGCTAATTAAACATAATTAACTACTCTAACTTCAATTAGAGTGTCATTAATTTTAAAGTTGAAGCTTCTGCTGAATCAAATCATCGATCACACGGGGATGCACACACAGATTGAACATTGATTGTGGACTGATAAGAGGATTAAATTAATTAATGAGTGATTAAGGAAATGAAAGAAATGGAAGGGATGAAGAGAGATCTCCCCCCGTATCTGTTTCTGTTACTCGTACGTAGTACCTACTACCTAATGCTCTGTTTCTATCTGTATGGTGGTTGTCGAGGACAGGATGGGTTTTTTAATAAATAATTATCAGTTCAATTATCTTTTTTATATAAAAATTATAGTTGAATATTAAAGCTTTGAATGACCTTACATATATAGTGCCATGCAGCTGGTATTGCTTTCAAACAAATTTCCACCACTCAGTTCCATCCAAGTTTAACCAAAGGAGAGTGCTTGCCTCTTTCAATACTATTCTTTTTGTAATCATGATTTGACAAATGTGTAAAAAGTTACACATATGTCAAACTACTATTAGTAGAAATGTAGAAGTTCGTTTCTATGTAAGTATTTTTCTTAAACGGAAGGCAATTTTTAACGTGTTTAGAGAAGAAAAAAAAATTATTATTCTCTTTACAAGTAAAATATTAATATCTTACATACAATGCTTAAATTTATGTGTGAGTGAAATACACATAACGTATGCGAAGTAGTTGACATTCTTCTTTTTGTAGAATTTTAAACTTACGTTCAGAATAAAAATAGTTGGCATTCAGCTTTCTGTAATGTGAAGCTAAGATAGTTTTTCATTCTATACGTATGCAAAGTCAAAATAATTTCACATGTATTAGTAATAGTATTCACAAAATAGCTGGCATTCCACTTTTTATAATGTGAAGTTAAGATAGTTTTTCATTTCATACGTATGCGAAGTCAAAAATCTAAAAAATTTATCATGTGTTAGTCGCAAAAATAAGTCTTGTTTTTGGTCCAAGTAGGTTAAAAAAAACGTCATAACAAATAGATATGTAGTAATGAAATTCAATAACGTATACCGTCATTTTTATCGATCAAACCTTTGCCGGATAGAACCTGTGTCTCCGAAATCGTGAATTAGTTTTCAAGTTAGATCATGGAAGAGTCAAGCTCATTCATATCCAATAAAATATTTCCCTCTCTCTTAGATTTGGTCACCAATCATAATGGCACCCGCTTCATTTTTAGTATATTTTTTGTTTTTTTGTTTTTTTATTTAGTGTAGAAAAACTGAAAAACAAGAAGGAAAAAGGAAAAATCCTAGTTTTATCTTAAACCGTCATGGAGGGCATGTGCAACTGTGACTTTATCACGTGTTGGCGCATCGGGTATAGGGAACACACGTGCGGCTTGCATCCTCAGAAGCAACAAGGAAATCTTGCGTTACCGGATTAAGAAATAGAACCCCGCCACCCTGCTTATAATTATTAGACACATGTTTCTAGGGTGCCTAAAAATAATCCTCAGATTTAAACAAATACCAAGTTTAAATGTGTCGCTAAATAAATGGTACAAATCGTACAATCATCCTCACGTTACCTAGGCACAGCTTTACGTATATATAAATACTCTTTCTAATTTTTATTTTTATTTGTTTTTGCAAGTTATAAACTTATACTGTAATTAAAAATTGACATGGTCGGTCCATTATCTTGCAATAATAGTGTGTTTTCCCCATCTCAAATCTAAGTACATCTGGATTGAGAATCGGGAAGTTGGTTGTTTATCCTTAATGGTGTATGTTTATATAAACGAGATGGGGATCTTAAAGGGTCAAAATAATAGTATTTGTGGTCACCAAGTGCTTCCAACTGGTTTTGAATCCTTACCATTGAGGTACTATGTAACTCGCCAACTAAAGATGACAGTTTGCCAACCGCACCACACCTTGTGATAATAAACATAATATTTGCTTATTGTTCAAATGAAACCAAATGTCGATAATCAAATGGTTAAATAATTTTCGACTTAAATGATCTTTTGTATTGATAATCCTTGGATGATATCCTAAAAAATGAACAATTTCAATTATTGAATTACTTTTCAAAAATAAAATGTTCTTATTTGTAAGGGCATCTCCTTCATAGAGAAACTGAACAACAATGTCCTTATTTGTAAGGACATCTCCTTCAAAGATAAATTAAACAATAATGTCCTTATTTGTAAGCAATATAGGGGCATATTCCAACCTCCCCAAGGAATTTTCTGCCTCTATTTGAAAGGAAATATCTCTCGTACAACTTGCCTAATTTGATATACCTACTGAACTTATCTCATAAGTGTAATGCCCTTATTTGTAAAGGACATCTCCTTCACTAAGCTCAAATTTGTGTTGTAGTTTAAACAAGATAACTGGACTTTGATATCATAAAAGAAGTTAGAGTTACAACTTCAAACCTATTGTGTCCACATTAACCTTGTTAAAACTATGGAACGTTTAAGTCTAGATTTAGTATAGTAGTCGTATAAATTTTTATGGAGGAAAAAGTTTTGAAAAAGAAAATATATATGACTTCATGTACCTTGTAATTTACTTTTTCCTTAGTACAAACGATAGTCTAAACTAGAGGGAAATAGATTTCTCTCATACACACAATTGATGTCATGAGAATTCGAACCAAAGATGAAATCTCTGATCTCTATTCATTTGGATGAAGGAATTGCAAATCACATAAAATTCTAAAATTACATAATTTAGATTTCTGGCAATTGAATATTTCAGTGTTTGGATTTATAAATGTCGCATTTTTTAAATGACAGAAATTAAAATTTTCAATGTTTTGATAGCTCATGTAAATTGTAAATGACAAAAATTAAATATTTCAAAAGAAAAAAAAAACTGATAATCGACATAGAAGGTATTCCTCGAAGTATAAAATAACATATCGTTTGATGAACCAAATAACTCAACTTAAACAAACAGACATATTAGCAAACCAAATCACTCCCCACGTGCAATAAACATCAGCTACACACTCTCTTCTTATTTTTTCTTAATTGGGAGTGTCTTTAGCATCTGAAATTGTTTGTCATTAAGGATGATGTTCATTTTCACTAAAACCTTGTACTGCTTGTACTTCAGCATATACCTCTGATGGATCAAGGTTATTAGTATCAACATGGATAAAATCTTCAAATGATAAAGCCATTCTAGCAATCGAATAAGCAATAACATCTTTGACAACACCTCTTTTCTTCGTCGGAAGAATATTAGAAGAATTTGATGCACAATTTATATGTGTGAATTAATTTTAC